CATTTGAAATCTATGCTATATTTCATTTCATTTCGGGCGGTCGAAAGTATATATCGAAGCAATGTCTGAATCTGCACCAATTTTTACAAAACGCAATAACGCCATTCTTGTCTAAATTTGAAATGTTGTGCAAAATTTCGTGTCAATCTGACAAACATGAGAAGTTTAGAGCAACATTTTCCTGAAATCGGACAAAAATATGTATGGGAGCTATATCTAAATCTGAACCGAATTCCACATATCATTCTACATTCAATTCAATACGCTATACAAGATTTGTTGATAATCCTTGGGTTTGGTGTAGCATTTACTAGAAATCGGACGAAAATATATATGGGAGCAATATCTAAACCTAAACCGATTTCAACTAAATATCCCATACATCAATCTGGACCTAATTCAGTAAGCTGTGCAAAATTTGGTCTCAATTGCACAAAAATTGGGTGTTTGGTGCACCATTTATATAAAATCGGTCAAAACTATATATGGGAAATATATATATATGTATATATATATGTATATATATATGTATATATATATATATATATATATCTGTACCGATTTCAACAAAACTTTGGATACATTTATCTGGACAAAATTCCGTACGCTGTGCAAATTTTTGTCACAATTGGACAAATATTTAGAGTTTTGTGCTCCATTCCCATAAAATCGGACGAAACTATATATGGGAGCAATATCTAAATCTGAATCGATTTTAATACAACTTCGCATACATCAAACTAGTCTTATTGGGAGCTTTGTTCACCGATTATATACAATTGGACTAAACTACATCCAAATCTGAATCGATTTCAACAAAACTGTACCTAATTCCATACGATGTCTAAAATTTTGTCCCAATCGGACAAACATTGAAAGTTTGGTGTACCATTTACACAAAATCAAAAGAAAATATATATGAGAGATATATCTAAATCTGAACCGACTTCCAATCTCTACCTAATTTAATACGCGGTGCAAAATTTTATCTCAAATGGACAAACATTGGTAGTTTGGTGCACCATTTACTTAAAATTGGACAAAATATAGAATCTATATCTAAATCTGAAACTCTTTTCTCCAATTTCAATAGGGTTCATCCAAGTGCCAAATAAGTGAGATTTGAGATTTCATCTTATTCGGATCATAAATGCGACCTGTACTTTTTTTACGGACATGCAATAATAGACTCAGAAAGTGTTTCTATGCATATTCTCAAAAGGAACCATGGGTCTATCTCGTTTCCTTTTGCCTGGTACAAGCATATGTATGCATAAAGACATAATACCCTGCACTACAGTGTATTGAAGGGTACAGAAATAAGGATGAATGTGCCGAGTGGTCGTCCAGTACTGAGGGATAACATGGTCCGGAAAATTTTCCTGTCAAAGAACAGTGGTGATGAAAGCATTGTCCAGCCAATACAATCCAACGAAGATAAAAAAGATAATCATCTCTCGATAGCGTAAGGTCCAATCATGACCATATTGGTTTTCAGTTTTTAACGGCAAACCTTTACTTTTACTCTTTTTACCACTGTGCTCCAACGAATTCATATTAAATGTTTAGCTAATTTTAATTATTATTTACGAAGCATAATTATAGTCATTAGCAATGTTAAAACTAATTACAGGAAGAAGATAATAACTATTTTGAAATTTAACATCGAAACCTGATGTTGTTCCCATAAAATAAAAGACATAAATAAAATACAAGTTAGAAAATAAAATATACTTTTAATTTAAAATTATTTTTTTTTTAATAAATAACATTTCCCAGCTGAATCACACAGTAAATATAGCCTTGCACAGGTTTTCAATCAAAATCTCCCACAATCAATACTCCAGCTCGATAATTAATTCAACAAACAAACTCCGGATCGATGTAATAATTCTTAAATTTGGTGACATTTAACAACACGACACGATTAACAAAATTAACTATTCAAATCAGGCGATTATAAATGATGACCTGCGTTCGAAGATACCGCTTATAATTGTTAAATAAAAAAATACAAAAGAAACATTGAATCAAATTCATAGCACCATCTGAACAAAAGACCATAGCTTTGATGACACTTTAAGAAACAAAAAATTGGATATTTATATTCTCTATGCCTAACTATAGCAAACCTCCACCTCCTCCTCATTTTCCATATGTAAGCTTTGCTTTCAATGCTGTCTTGTGGGTCTGCCATGTTTTGCTGCCTCACTGATGCTTATCACAGTTTAAAAATTTCACACAATATCAAGCTACCGAATCAGATAAAAGGGGAAACTATTCAAGTATTGATCGATTTTTACAGATAGATTTCCATAGATATGTTGAGTAGACACGTTTAACTGTTATATTTAATAGCTTGGGAATGATATTTTAACAGTAGGCGGTGAATATGTGCCAAATACAAAGGGAGTATTATTTATGTAACTATTTTTTTTTTGGGGAATGTGTGGAACTTAGTTGGAGAACCAAAAACAAATCGAATTTTGTGTGTATAAGTCGTATTTAGTTAAAAGTAAGATAGAAATATTGATCATATAAACTTCGGTCTTATGACTTAGAAAGTTCAGTTCACACAAGAACTCAAGATAGTCAGTTGAAAAACACTAACAAGACCAATTTCTACTTCAGCATGAAAAGTTATTACACCTGAAAAGCCACTCCATTACCAACGGAATAGTTTTTTTTGAAAAGTCATTGGAACTTAGAAGAAGTGTAAAAGAGTGCAAAACTAAGTTATTTTGCCAACTGCCCAATTGTCATAACCTTGGATTTAGCTTTTGGCAAGTCAGCTGTGGGCAGATTGTCAGTGTAGATTGACTGCTAGAAGGGTGGTTGCGCCTTATCAGCCTTTCTGGAGGCCTTTTACGGGTCTATTCCGGTTAAAAACACTTCGTATTCGCCAACATTGGTTTATCCATCAACAACTGTCCAATTGTCATAACCTTGGAATTAAGTTTTGTCAATTCAGCATCGGTCCTGGTTGTCTTGAGGTTGTGCCTTATCAGCTTCTCCTCCTTTGGAGGGGCTACCGTGGTAGACTTCGCACGTGACGTTGGATTTCTATCTATTAAGAAGTCTTTCACAATGTCTCTCGAATGAATTTGAGGTTCCCCTTAATTAGAAGGAATTTTTTGTCCGTTGTAGAGTTCCTGTACCGTCCGATAAACCGTTTGCAGAAAAATAATTGCTCTCCTGTATATCTTCTTGCCAAAGGTCTTTTGACCTGTTTAGCGGTTCCTGGTTCTGGCGATTCATCCATATGTACGATGGGAAGGTCATCAGCACTATTATACTCTACAACGGCCAACTGCCTCAGAAGTCTCGAGACTTCACTACAAGCTGTGGAGATGAAATAGGGATCTTCTCGTTCGAAAGGGGTTACATCCTTTCTTATCATCTGAGAAGACTGACCTTGATTTGGAGAAGTCACTAGAATAGCTATCGTGTTAGTCACCACAGTGCTAATTACAGTGGTATCCGTAGCGTCGTCCTTGTCTGTCAAGGGTGAGTCATCCAGAGTTGCGTCGGGATGCCCGTAAGGCTATGTCTATTCCGGTTTGCATTGACGTAATCGAGAGTAATAGGGGTTGATTGATATAGAAATTGGTCCGGTACGATAGCATTGACCGTAGTCATTCGTAGGGGTTGATTGGATTCTGACATTGTAGAGTTCGAGATTGAGTAGGCGCCCACGTAACAACAATGCTCCGTTGAAATACAGTCGGGGCTCTGATTGCAAACCGTAAAACACTGATAGGCACGATGTCGCCTAACACCCCAGTATTAGGGAGACCACTTAGGAATGTAGTGATAATACTAATTGATAAGGCGCCATTGTCGCCTCCTCAGACCTGGGATCATATACATTCGGTCATTTCCTCCGAGACTCTCCCCCAGGACCCGCTGAGAATCCGTGACTGTTTATTTATATTCACAGTTTCCCAAGAATTTTATTGGTCTTTCCACCATTCGCAATCTGTGGACGCGTCCGTTAGCATTCAGCTCTGCTGCCCGAAGGCGGAACAGAGTTCATTGGAACTTACTTTTTCTAATGCGAGGTTCGGTCAACAGTCAATGCGGCTTTACGTGTTTTATAGGCGGGATAAGTTTTAGAACCGCGTTATCTTACGAAGAGGTACTCACAAATGGTCATCATAATCTTATGATTTAATATCTTGCAACTCCTACCATGAGGCCACATATAAGATAAGATATCTACACCTATAGTCCACCTTCGATTCAAGACGTCATAGATAGAGTTCACACTGAAAATATGTCTGATGAAATTTTTCGATATAGATTTCTATTTTTTTTTAATCAAAAAAACAGAAATTAAAAAAATTAAGATCATGCTGCTTGGGCTAGACCTTTTAAAATCGATCGGAATCTTTATATGAGGTCTATATCAAAACTCAAACCTGGAAATTTTCATCGCAGGTTAGTGAAGGCCCTTCAGGAAAATGGAATATCTACAGCAAATGCCGCTAAAGCATTCAATTCAATGGGAAGGGACCTGTATATTGGGGCTATGTTAAAACATGGAACTATATAGGAAATTGTCTGTAAATGTGCATTATGTCCTCGGATAGAGCCAGAGAAAACATGGGGACAATACTATGAACATATTCTGGGAAGAAGCATCTTCGATTTTAGAAATTTTGAAGGACTTAACGTCAAAATATCTAAGATATCGCGAGTCATGCAAATAGGGGCTAGTTGAAAACCCCTATTGAAAATTGTGTCACCATACAAGAGCCAGAAAGCCAAATTAGGGTCACTTCGAGTACACCTGTCAAAACACCGAAATATCGTTATATGGGGACCATACCGATATATCCCCTTTCAAATACCAAACATTACAGGAGCTGTTACAATGTGTGTGGGAATTTACAATCTTCCAATATTGTGAACTCCGTCATGATTTCAAAAGCAATGACATTCAACTAATTTCGAAATATTGAAATAGAAAAATATTAACCCTGTACTTTTCCTTTCAGTTACTCTCAGCCAGTGCCACACACTCACCACAAACTGGCGATACGGCAAGCGGTCCTGCAGCCATGACTAGTCCAAATGCTCCAGCTCAGAGTCCATCAGGCGAATGTCGTACAAATGTTTCAACAAATGTACCCCAGTCGAATAATCCCAGCGGTGCCAGTGGTGCACCTGAGGTATCAACTGGTGCTCTTAGTCCGGATGGATTGTCACAACATTCGAATAATGTTAGCGGCACACAAAATCCTGCAACAAATACCAACATGGAAAATACCCCACATGGTTCGAACAGTGCAGGATCGGCTGGCGGTGGTTCCTGTTGTGAAAATGGCCGACCAATAATGACTGATCCCGTTTCCGGTCAGACAGTGTGCTCCTGTCAATATGATTCGGCTCGTTTGGCTCTATCAAGTTACTCAAGATTGCCGGCGGCCAGTGTGGGTGTCTATGGTACACCATACCCATCGACGGAGCAGAATCCCTACCAAAGTATTGGAGTTGATAGTTCGGCCTTTTATTCGCCTTTGGTAAGTTTTTGGATTTTTACTATAATATCCGGGTATGGGTTAGTTTTTTTTTCGATTTCGTTCATACAAAAAGAAAAAAAATGTATGAAAACAAACGACCGGCAAATGTTTATGATCATCGTCATTCGAATGCCTTCATACATAATGCAAACAAACACATGCCCGTACAAATGAATGTTGATTATTGGCGGGCAGACACACTCTGAAAACAAAAGGCAACCATTACTCTTTATTGCTCCTCATGTCAACAGCAATAACGGCTTACGTTAAGGAAAAATGGTCATAACAAAAATATCAAATTTCAATTGATACCAATAATAATGACGATGACGACGACAACAACAACGACGACGATTACGATTATGACAACAATAGCAGCCGAGAAGCAACAACACTCCAAGCACTTTGCCCCAAAACGCATGGCCGCCCAATCGCCGGACCGGCCATTATTGTCATTTCGACATTAGAGCCAAACCATGGAGTACCTTCGTTATGGCCGACCGACAAACTGGCCGTCCGGCCGGCCGGGCGGCAAATAATAAGAAGACATGCCGAGAAAACCGAACAGACAGTTTCTTTTTGTTTGAGTGACTTTTGAGTGAGTTGCAATCGGCCATACTAATAATTCGATTTGCTTTAATAATAATGACATGCCAAGCAAATGGCTGCTATGTCATCCGACAGTCAATATCGAATGCAAACAATGCCAATAACGATGAATATCAATCGGAGGGCAATTACTCAAGTTTCATAATAAAAGCAATGCATAAATGGCATTGGCGGGAAATTTAGTCACATACTTGTTGTGGATTAAAAGGAATGAAAAATAGTTTATTATAAAGAATATCGCGCTGCAATATATAAAATCATAAAAAATATAAATCCGTGAATGGGTAAAATGTCGTTTTCTTAATATTTAAATTATTTATTATACCCTACACAACTATGTTGTCAGGGTATTATAGCTTTGTGCAGCCCCAAATGTTTGTAACGCCGCGAAATATTGGTCCTAGACCCACCTTTAAGTATACCGATCGTCATATCTCGACTAGCTGAGTCGATCTAGACATGTGTGTCCGTCCGTCCGTCCGTCCGTCTGTCCATTATAATTTGTAAACACGATACAGGCCACAGTTATGGACCAATCTTCACGAAATATTGCATGTAGGATGGGTTCTGGCCAATGAAGACCCCTATTGTTTTTGGAAAAGATCGGTTAATATTTAGGGGATGAAATGGACCAAATACTAAATTTTTGTCGGTTTTTCTGGTCGCTCCAGAGGCCGCAATTATGGCCCAAACACCGCGAATTTTTGCATGGAGAAGTGGATCGGGCCAGAGAATAAGCATGCATGTTTTGATAAAGATCGGTCAATATTTAGCGGGTCAAATGGACCCTGTGAAAAATGACAAAATTTGTATTCTATGGCATATATATTTACTCCTGGAGGATGTAGACCCCAGGAGTTAATAGCATATCCAAGAGGAGTGGTTGGCCTTTAAATTGATACCAAATATAGTGATGTGTCTACTCAGATGTGGGAGTTACAGTCAAATATTTACAGATGCTTACGTATTCAGATATTATTTAGTAACCCATTACCACATTAGAGGGAGAAATATCGCGCTGATGGCTTTGAAATTTTTCATGAAGTTCCAGTTATGGTCAAGAACAACGCCTACAATTTTCGGTGATGATCAGATTAAAATTTTGGGATGAAATGGACCGAAAACATAATTTTTTGTGTGTTTTCGAGTAGAGTATAATCCGAAAATCACAACACAACCCACCGTGAAGGTAATCTGGACAAGTAATTAGAAGGACTGTACTGAATATTCGAAAAAAGTAAGGAAGAGGTGTTGTTAACCTCTAATCGGACAAGAGGGGGCAAATATCACGAAATATTACTCAGACTCGGAATAAACATCCTCAGAAAGTTAGAGTTCGTGGTAGTTGTGTAGGGTATCGCATGGTCGGCCCCGTCCGACTATACTGCTCCGCTCACTGGTTTTTTTTTACTTTAGTGTTATATCAAGGATTTTTGATATATAACACTAAGGCCGAAATGGAAAAAGGTCGGTTGCCGACAGAAATATACTCTCAGCCTATGGTTGGCGGATGTCTAGGGTATTACTGTCTATTGTTGAGGTGGAGTATGTACTCAACTATATTGTAAGGGTAATATAGCTTTGTGTGGCCCTAAGAGTTTGAAACGTAGCGAAATTTTAAACACGATATAGGCCACAGTTATGGACAAATTGTCACAAAATTTTGCATGTCTGCCGTTAATATTAGTTTGGGGAAAAAGAAATCCATTATGAAAATGTCGATAAAATCAGAGAAATGATCGAAATTGACCGGCATGTTAGCAGTCGTAACATCGCCCTGGAGCTAACAGTCGACCGTAAAGCTGTTTTAATCCATTTACACAAAACTGGATTAAAAAAGCTCGATGTTTGGGTGCTACACCAATTAACAGAAAAATAGGATGGATCGAATTTCCATCTAAATTCTGATTTCTACTGTCAACAACTGGAGCTTTTGTAGATAGCAATTGACCAGAAACGACCAGAATTGGCCGAAAAGGAAAGGTGTCGTGTTCCACCAGAACATCTACAGTGACTCGACAGACACTTCGGGAGCATGGTTATGAAGTATTAATGTATCCGCCATACAGTCCCGACGTGGCACCAATCGATTATCATCTAAGTCTTGCATTGCAAAATTCCTTTAAAAATTCCTTGGTATCTAGGGAGGATTGTGAAAATCGACTACTAGAGTTTTTCCTGCAAATAGAGAGCAGGACTCCTATGAGAGAGGCATTATGAAGTTATCTTTAGAATGAACGGAACAAAGCGGTGCATGTTAAATAAAGTCCCTTAGTTCATATAAAAATAATGGATTTCTTTTCCCCAACCTAATGTTTAGGAAATGAAATGGACCAAAAACTTATTTTTTTGTCTGTTTTTGAGGTCGATTTGGAGGCCACAATAATGACCCGAACGTCATGAAATTGTACACAGGGCCATAGAATAAGCATGTCAGTTTTGATGAAGAACGGTGAATATTTAGCGGGCCAAATCCACCCAGATTTTTGTGTGAAAAATTAAAACAATTGTATTCATTTGCGAATATATTTCCTCCTGAAGGATAGAGACCCGAGAAGTTGATTTTGTATATTAGAGAGGTTGTTCATATTTAAATTGCTACCAATTATAATGTTGTATGTATTCTGATGTGGGAGTTATGGGTACATATTTACAAATATCTACCTATTCTGATTACCATTACCAACGCTACCATACTAGAGGGCCTATATTTCGCCGTGACCAATTTTAAATTTTACACGGAGTTCCAGTTATGGTCAAGGACGATGCCTGCAACTTTTGGAGACGATCACATAATATTTCTTGTATGAAATGGATCCAAAACTTAATTGTTGTATGTTTTTTCAAGGTCAGTAATAAGCCAAACATTACAGCACATTGGGAAGGGAATCTTGGCAACTAACAAGAATTGCTCCTTCGATCGGTTTTGATTCAGCGGGTTAAATCAACCAAGATATTTATGTATAAAATGAAAAACAAAATGCATCTTATATCCTAAATGTTGTAAGAAAGAGGGTGCAAATATCCCGTAATATTGCACAGGCTCGGAATATTGATCCACAGAGAGTTAGAGTCCCATGGTAGTTGTTTAGGTTTTCATATGGCCGGGTCCATCCGACTATACCGCTCCACTCACTGGTTTTTATTAACTTTATAACGTGTCAAAATTCTAACAATTTAAGGGGGGGGGGGGGGGGTACCAAAAGAAGTGGTCTGATAAATCCCATCATCGGACTTGATCTAGACTTGTTGAACATATTACCATTTACAAAGTTTGGGTGAAATGTCACAAATTTTCAAAATTTTGACCCTTTGTGTGCTTGATTAAAATATTAGATTGAGAACAGATTGGTTCAAATCGGATAGCCTATTCTCATCATATTACCAAAGTAATTTTCAGCAACATTTGGACCATTTGAAGAGATACCAGAAGGAATAGACTGATATGACACGTCTTCGAACTTGATTTAAGTTTTAAATAAATATTACGGCGCTCGCAGTTTGTGTGAAATAGAGCGTTCAGTTCTCTTGATATTTGATTAACAAATTTTCAAAATTTTGACACTTTGTGGGCCAGGTACATTATGAATGGTTCGATGGGTTTCATCTTCGGACTTGATCTAGGATTAATAAAAAATATTACAATGTGCAAAGTTTTGATGAAATTTAAATATTTCTTTCGCTTTAAATGAGATTTAAAAGTTTATAAAATACTAGCATATACCCGCTACTTCGTTAGTGAACGTAGCGAATGTGGGGTGTATTTAAAACCATATATCGACCATTATTAAAATTTTAGAACTATATAGTACGAATGTTCTGCCATAGCATGTTCTCAAATCTACCTCAGTATCTCAACCCTATACTAAATTCGGTGTAATTTTTTACCATTTGTACTCTTGTAATACTTATTTTGGAAAAAAATCTAATATAGCCCAAATCCAAATTGAGTTGCAGTTAGTGCACATTAATATAAATTTCCATAACTACCTTCTTTAGCAATCATAAGTACGAATTTTCAACACTTCCCACATACCCCAATCTGAATTCCAAATTTCAGGATTCTATCAGTTCACCTAAATCCAATTTTTATCACATTTAGTACCACTTAGAACACATAAGTAAAAATTTCCATTACTACCTACATCATGCAATCCAATTGAAATCATGAATTAGATAAAATCTTAATTATAATCCAAATAGTATCAAATTTAGTACACAGTAGTACAAATTTCCAAAACTTCCTAGTTAACCAAATCCGAGTTTCAGGATTCCAACTCTATTGGTTCACCCACAATTCAAATTGTAGTAAATTTAGTACCAATGTCCAAAAATTCCTACATACCTCAATCCTACACCCGCACAGTTATCCTAAATCCAAGTTTCCGGAT